AGGAAAAACTCTTAAGGAAAAAAAAAGATAAATTGAACCAATTGAGAGGCTCTTTGAACTTTTCATAAAATGCATTAAAAGTTTTAGCTTACAGAAGAAAAGGTAAAGAAGCTAAACGGAAGAAAATAAAAGAAAAGAAATAAAGTCAATTGAGTAAAGTGGAGACAAAGAAAAAGCATAAATTTACTTTCCCTTTTTACAATCGAAAAACCAAAAATAAAATTTTAAGATAGAAAGTGCTTTTTAAATACGAGAGAAATTGTTAAAGGTATCAAAAATTTTTTTATTTTTTTTTTATCATAAAATTTTTAAATTACCATAATCCGAAGCTTATAGCGTTAGCGAATAAATAAAGCACAAACTTCATGTTTTGAAGGATGCTTTAAAATAAAATTTCTTTCCTTTTTCATTTTTTTATTGTATGCTGTGGGCAAAAAAAAAGAAAAATGTGTATGAAAGGAATAAACTTTGTGATGTTGAAAGAATTTCGTAATTTGTCTAATCTTTCTTTTAAATGATATGCATGAAAAATATTATACAATCTTAAGTTAAGCTTAAGTTAAGAATTCACATGATATATGAAGAGTCTATTAATAATAATAATTTCATTGCTCAAAACAAATATTCACTTAGGCCTTTGTTATAGGAAACCAAATAATTCGCCGGATCAAAATGGAAAACTCCTCTTAAGCAAACTAGACGTCCTTTTAAATACATACAGCAAAATATATTTCTTCGGCGACCTTAGCATTAATTTATTTGATCAAATTTTTACTCTTGTATGCGACGTCAAAGAAATTGTAAAATCTAATAGTCTCGAATTTGTATACTCATTTTCACATGAATATCCAACTCGCATTAACTATAGATTCAGTTAAGTGCCTTGCTGGTCGAATAGGTAAGGTGCTTGGCTCAAATTTGGGATGGTAACTCGAAGGTCGTCGGTTCGATTCCAGCCATTTCCAATTTGTTCTTTTTCGGACGTTTAGATACTTCGACAATTCACTTTGTTCGTTCGTTCGGCTGGGGCAAAAAAATTTAAATCAATTCTGATTGACATCAACCAGACATCGTACAGAGCTCGGGTTTGTTTTATTAACTTAGTTCTGGGCGATTCTCCAGAATGGTGGAATTTTGAAAAATAAGCTTTTTTAATCCAAGGTTATTTGTGTTGGATAGTAAAAATCTTTTGGTTAATATCTTTTAAATACATTTGAGTTTAAATATCAAAACAGTCTAAAATCATCAAAAATAATTGCTCTATTAAGTTTCATTAATAGATTTACATAATAATCAAAGATAAGAGTAGTATTTTAATGTTTTTAATTCGTTTTTCTGGTAATGTTTTTAGGACCGGTAAAATAAAAGCTTAAAGATGCTCCGTGACATAAAGTTGACGTTCCTCTATTGAATTTTTTGTAAAAATTCCATTTTCGGTCACGGACCATTTTATCGGAGAATCAAATAATCTCTAGAATTAAGCTAATTAATGGTTGTTATAATACGTCAACAGATAGATCATGAAAAAATACATCAGAAGACCTGAAAACCTAACATCTTTCAGTAGAAAAATCGGTCAACAAAATAATTTTAAGTTGAAAATTTTTGTTCCCCTATAGATAATATCCCTTCTATGGAGTCTTGAATCAGTGTAATTATACTATGGGCCGTTCAATTATGATGTCCGAAATTAACGGTCATTTTTCAAAAACAAACAATGGATTTCCAGGAATTTCGATTGTTGTTTTGGGCAAATCCGCGGACAATAAAAAGCTTGAAATTTTTGTTTTTCTCAAATTTCTCTTCTATTTGGCTATTTAAGTGATATTTTAATACCAAAACACGCGTATTTCCGACAAATGTACAACTTTCGATAACTTTGGCATGAAATAAATCATTAATTAAAGAGATATTTTGATTTTTCTGGCGTCAATCTCTCCTGCAATCGAAATTAATTTTCAAAAAAAAGCAAAAATTTTCTTAATTATAAATCTAGACAGCACCAGACTTGTTTTATAGCATTTCAAATTTAATTTTCTATCATATTCTTTTATCAGGTGTTAAAAAAAGTCACTTAATTAAGAGAAATTAAAGAAAAATGCGTCAATCTCTCCTGCAAGAACACTTTGTTGCAAAACATTAGTTTAGAGTATTTTTTCGTAACACGATAAATTTTGAAAAGTTATAAAACGTTAAGATCATAATCAATTGAAATATCTAAATTATGCAGTGACTTACAGCTTGAATAAAGCTTTATTAACGAGAACACAATAATTAATTGCTTATTTAATTAAAAAAGTAAAGAATTGATAAAATAATGTTTATTTTTGTTCAAAAACTGTAACGAGTTTTTATTTTTCAAATTTTTCCAAGTAGAGAAATATTACAACTCGCTTTTTGCCAGTTTCATCATTTTGCGGATTTGCCCAATTTAATTTTTTCTCTTGAGCAAAAATCACCAATAACACCTCAATCTAGAAATCCCTAAAATGCAGCTACCCTAATATGCAGATGGTACTGCTAAAGTGCAGATGAAATTTATTTTCCATAAAATGCAGATGAAATGCTGTTGCTTTAAAAAAGGTATAATGCAGATGATTTTTATCGTATAAAGTGCAGATAAGATGCTGCCCAAATGTAGATCGTATAATTTTACTAAAATAAAGATGAAATGCTATTAAAATGTAGATAATTTAACGTTGGATATTAATTTTTTTGGCCCCTACGAAAAAAAAAAATTATTCGTGAGTGATGCTTTGGTTTTTTAAATATCTCCGAAACCACAATAGTGACAAATTTCAAAGTTATTATATCTTGTAAAAAACAAAAATTGCTTTCTTTTGACATAGAACTTACTTCCTAAAGTTAAGGCGTTATGTCAGAAAATCAATTTAATTAAGCGTCACTCACGAATATTTTTTGTGAATTTTGTTAAAACTTTGTCAGTTTTCATTGATATATCTACAAATGTATTTTTTAAATTCACACCGTTTTCACGTGTGAATCTATTGGTTTTGTTCAGATGCAAACATCAGTTTTTCGCATTTTGTGAGAAAACGAAGCAAATATGAAACTTAACTGTAACTTTGTACATAATTAGGGTTTTCCCACCCTGTCTAAAATAGAAAAAGTTCAAATTCCATTACAAAGTAAACTAAACAAAAGCAACGCGTAGGTAAAACCAAAGTAGTTGGTAAAAGTGTACCAACATGCATGCCAAAAGTGAAGATATAAATTGTTTTGGAGTTTTTAAACTCCTGTCATGCTGGATTGGAGAAAACTCTAGTTGAAACATATTTTCTTATGTTAAATACAAAAGAAAAATTGCTTTTATCATCTAAAAAAACTGATGAAATTCAAAAAAATTTACACAAAAGGAGAGAAAAGTAAGAGAAGCTATTTTTCTTTAAATTTTTTGGTACACATTTCCCCTTGACTTTTCTTATCCTATAATAAGGAAGGAATAATAAGGAACTTAAAGAGAGAAAATTGAATTTTTAAACTTGAGATTCAACAAACAGAAAAGCTTCCTTCATTTGGTTCAGTGACATTTTTTCAGCAAAATGTATTTCCCAAATTGAAATTATACTCAATAAAAGAGTAATCTTAATAAGTGAGAACATTTGTAAGATGAGAAATTTTAAGTAGTAGTAGCAAGAGTAGCTTAAAAGGGGAGTAAATGCTGAGGTTTACATTCTCTCCCCTCACATCATATCAATCATCTCATGAAAATATTGCAATATACTTTCAAAACATCCAGTTTAAGAAAAAAGATTGAGAACAAAGAAATGAATGAAAAGAGGCAAAAGGGGAAAGGAAAAATATAAGAGAAAAGGGAAAGAAATAAAAAGATGTGAAAGCAAGCAAAGGAAAAAAGTTGAAACGTGATGAAGAAAACTTTTCTTTTCAACGATGCTAGGCGCTACTTCAAGACGCTGCCGGCATGCTTTCTCTATATAAAATACGTATATTCTTTCGATTCAACCAAAGACGTCAACGACGACGATGACGACGACAATGAAAAAATTAATGTAACGCACATCCAATGTAAGCATATATTTATGGTTATGATTTATTGTTTTGCTTTTTCACATGTATATATAAATAAATAGAAGAAGGCAATTGCTTCGCGGAGGACGCGAGACGACACATTGGGAAAAAGAAAAATATTTATCATGTGAGCTTGTATACGTGCTGTTAAATAAATACTTTCTACTGAAAGTGTTGTTTTTCTGGTATAGAAGTACTAAAAAATTAAAGGAATTTTTTATTTCTTAAAGTTTTCAACTTTTTGACATCAGCACAATTATTTTACTCTTTTTTTTCTTATGCAGCTCGCGCTCATACTCATTTTTACACCCATGAATTTTTATGGTTGTAAAAATCAGAGTTGATTATATTTTCCCCCTTTTCTTGTAAAATAAAAAAGGAAAGAAAAAAAGTAGTTAACTGATTGTTGAATTGTATAAAGCAAGTTTTTTCCTTTATCCGAAGACGGTTAGTTAAAATACTTCAAAATTACGTCTAAAAGTATTTACTTTAATTTTCAATATAAAGTTGTTCTTTTAAAAAATTTAAAATTGTGAAATTCGGAATCGTGAATGCTGTCGAATATAAGTACCAAGGTATTAAAGTTAAAATTAGAAAATATTGGATTAGGTGAATACAGAATATAACGAAAATATATCAATTTATGCAAATAAACTTCAGTTGTTGATTAAAAGATAATTGATTTTTTTTTTCGAATTTTGAGAATGCATAAAAAGTTGAGAAATCAGTTTAGATTAATAAAATAAAAAAAATATCGAACTGTTTCACTAAAGTAGATTATCCTCGATTTCAGATTATCCACTTTAGTTTTCGGCAAATTACGACTTAGTAAATTTTATCTCATCAAATCACAATAAGTATATGTTTATAATATGTGTTGAATGTTCTATTGAAGTGTACAAAAATAAATGACACCAAAGGAAGAAGTTAACAAATAAAAAATAACTTACCTGGCATTGTGGCAAATCACCTTCAGGACGTTTTGCTTTCCAGCCGAGTAATGGCGGTATACAAATCAGTCCACTCATTATCCAAACAGCGGCTATCATCACAGCAGCACGTGCTGGCGTTCGCGTCTTTAAATACTCTACAGCTTGTGTAATACTCCAGTATCGATCGAGCGATATTAGACATAAATTCATTATTGATGCTGTGCACAACAGCACATCGGCAGCTGAATGAATGTCGCACCACCAAGAACCGAAGACCCAATAGCCCATTAATTCATTTGCTAGCGAAAATGGCATTATTACAAGGCCAAGGAAAAAATCTGCAACGGCCAGCGATGCAATAAACCAGTTCTGGATATTTTTTAATGCCTTTTCAGTAGCGATTGCAATAATTACTAGCATATTACCAACGACTATAACTATCATTAAGATTGTGACAATGACTGATGCAAATATGATGGAAGTAATAGTGTATCCGCTCGGATATCCATTTCGGAATATCGTATGTGGTGTTAGGGCAGTAGTTGATGCGAAAGATTCATTGTTGTGTGCATCACTTAAATTACCAAATATATCTGTTGATGAAGAATTTCCAAGATAGGATAAAAATTCTTCAGCTGTTTCATTTATGTTTAAATTTGCTGATAGATAATCCATTTTAGCTGATTCTTTTTTATATAAAATCACGATCAAAATCTCAAAGACATTAAATTTTTCTAAAATGCATCATTTATATTGCCCTTTTTCCTTATTTTTCACTTAATTTTTATGTGTTCTGCTTCCAAAACTATGATATATTTATATGTTAATTAGTTTGATGTCTGAATGATTCATGAATTCAATGTTTAAAAACTTGTTTGTTTTAAGAGACTTAATGATCTTTTGTTATTTTAAATTTATCAAATAGCCTAAAACGTTTTGATGCTGTTTTTTTGTGAAGTCACTTTACATGTATGTATCTATTTATGTCGTTCTATAATATGAATGTTTGTTTGATACTATCAATATTTTATGCTTTCGCTTATTAGTGATATGATGAATTTAAAAGTTTATTGTTCTGTTAATCATTTATTTGTTTTACATTAGCTTTCAAAGTAGAACAATTGAAACTAATTTGGTTTGAAATTTTTATTGACTTATCTGAAAGTTTCAAACTTTTTGACTCATCGTGTCACCCTTTCGTTTTTAATCCTTTAATTATTCATTAAATATTTTGTGGTTTACCTCTTTTTTTATGAATAATGCATTAAATTTTAAAACATTGATTAACTCTGATTTGGAAAGCTTATTTTTTGCTGTTATTAGTGATAGTTCAATATCCCATTTAGATTATATTTCAGATCTCAATATTTTCTTTATTTTATGTCATTTTACTTCCGTTAACTTTAACTCGCTGTGTCACGTAATATTGCATCATAAATTTTACTTTTTATGTCTATTTTTTTAACTCCTAGCATTCATATATGACATTAGGGGGCAATAGCAAAATGTTAAATGTTTTGTGAAAAGTCAATTTTTAACTTAGCTTTCTCATTCTACTTCATACTTTTCTAAAACTCTTTTTTATTTATTGCATGACATTTGGACCCACAGACTTATTCACATAAATATTATCTTTTTTTAATGATTTTCTACTCCTTTTTCGCTTACTTCATTATACTTCCAACGTACGTAGCACAAATGAAAAGCAATATCAAAGTATTAGCATTGCGAGAGCATTTTAATTGTTTTTTTTTTTTTTACTATTTTCCTATTATTGCAAATAATAAATGAAATTTCTTCATTTATAATGGTGAACTATACACAAAACAATGGTTCATTTTTAAATCACTATTTTCATATTTTTTCACTTCGTATTTTTGAAAAACATTTTATTTTTTGTTTTAAGTGCTATTGCAATAGCATTATTGTGATGTTGCATATATTTCATCCATTGTTCTTCGAAATATATCGTGTAAAGTTATTTGCTATGTAAATGGAATTTTTTCAACTCACGTCAACTAAATGTATTTTTTCTTTGAGAATTTTTATATCGGTTTCGACTCACTGTCGTGCACATGTTATATTGTGAATATGAATATTCAAGTAAAATTATTGTTTGTTCACTTTTTCAATTAAGCATTATTCGTTCTTCTCATATGATTTCTGTACACACACGGTAGGAAAAAAAATTTATATGTAAATATCTAGAAAAAATATTTTGCCAGTGGCTTCAAGCTTTTTCTATATGCTGGTGAAAAATTTTAATTTTCAATCTGTCAGAGGGTATCTCCCTCCACCATACACTTTAATTATGTGCAAATTTTATTTAATTAATGCAGCAGCACAATGAAAATTAGTTTAATTAGCGACGTTTAATTACATTCGATACACGCGACGCGCGAAATACACGTTTAAGATATGATAAGAACTGTTAATAACACACATAAAATATTATTTGTAATAAATGATTATTTAAATTTTTTGTTTTTTCGCTTATCAACACACAATGATGAATATATAAAATTTTGAGTACATATATTGAAAGATTAAGTTAACTCATTGCATATACTGTACAATTTTAATTCAATTTTTCTTTTCAATTTTGTCAATTAAGTGTTTATTTTTTGCTTTTTTGAGTTAAATCAGATGAATTTGCATTTTCTACCCGTTTTGTTCCGAAAGTTCCCGAATACGATATTCATTGATTAGATGATTAATCGGTAATTCGAAATTACAACATTTGATGAATTCGAAATAAAAGAAAAAAACTTTTATATCACATGTTTAAATTATTATTGAGTTAATACACTTAATTTGTTTGATATATTTTATATGGTAATTTAAATCATTTTTTTTATCAACCTTTTAAACTAGTTCGTCTTTTTAATATATCTTTCAGTTTTTTCGATGACATTTGCGACGAATAAATATTATATGTAAATTGTACATGAAAATATTTAAACACTCCTCCAAAAAGTATTTATCTCGACAAATGATCCAGCAATCAGTCAATAATTATAGAGTTGTTATTGTCGGAGAATCCTATATCCACTCACCATAATATTGTGCCACTGAATGTGGCCCATTAATTACTGACAATTAAAATTCTGGGAAAAATACTTTATTTTACACAAAAATATATCTAGATAGAGCCGTTTAATGATGCAATTTTTTAATTGCTTTCAATTATAGTCTTCTTTTACTTGTTTAATTATATATTTTAAAATTATCTCAAAATACTTGTTTCACTCTTTTCACTTATTTGCTTCTGTTTTTATCACTTTTAAAACAATTTTTTAATTGTAGAAAAAATGAGAAGTAACTTGTAAGATAAATCGATAGTTTTCTTATGTTTCTTATTATTGTATCATTTTTATATCCAGGACTCTTTCATATACTGACTGTTATATTTCTCTCTTATACATTCACTGATTGAGTTGATAAGCCACGGCGTAATTATAATTATTTTGTTCCTTATCGATTTGTACACATTATATTATCAGCTAGCAACAATGAGAGATTAAATATAAATTTCTACAAGTATTTCTTTTTTGTATACTTATTTGTTTATTAAATCTGTATCAGATTATTACCCCCTTCTCAATTTCATTCTATTGTATTGCATTTTCTGTCACATTTATATAACGTCTGGTTTTCCTTATATGTACTGCTGGTGACTGTTGTCCTTTTTATTTATTTTTCCTCGCTTTTCTCTAATGTATTTATATAATTTTTACATCTCTGCTATCTTTTTATTAAGATATGAAAAGAATTTTCAATGACAATGACAGAATGAGTAAATCTTGTCGTAAAATAGAAATGAGAGGGAACTTTTTTTACTTTCTTTATAGTATTTCACTGGCACTGTCTTTACTTCTTATTTTTTATTTGTCTACTCTGTCTTTTTCTTATACAAAAATCTTCTTTCTCATTCTTCTTTAGTTATTGTTTTTGTTATTTTTTATTGGATTGCTTAATGCCAATTTGCAATTTACTTCATTCAAGTTGAGGACTTTTCATTCTTCTCTTCTCCTTTTTTTCTCGTTGTTTTTAATGTGTTATTTTTTATTGCTTCAGTTTCATTGGCATATTCTTCTTAATTTTCACTTTTTGTAATTGAATCTTTATTATTCTTATTTAAAATTCTGTCAATAAGAAGATTTCAACAATTTCGAATTATTCAAAATAATAAAATTATTTTTATCTTATTTTATTTTCTCAAATTTTTTTCAAATGTTTTTATGTCTTTTCACACTTTGTTTTATTGATTTGAATTTATATATGTGGAACCAAAAATTTAAATTATACTGATGCTATAGATGATGATTGAAGGACAAAAATATTTTTTTTTGACTCAAATTCAAATTCAATATTTTTTTTCTTCATTTGTAGAATATCTCTTTTTAGTCGTAATTTAAATGTTCAATCCTTATATTACGAAAACTACAGAGAATTTCAAAAAATGAGACACATTAAAGTTTTCTTATTCACTGCTTTTTTTTCAAATGAATTGTAATCGATTCTCATTCACTTTTAACATTTTATCACGCTTCTTTTCACTAACTTTATATATGTAAGTAAATATGTGTTTCCGTATTTTATTCTCTCTTTTGCTATATTTTTGCGTGTGCTTGTTTAGTTGATTTTTCCGCGGAGACAACACAAACCTGAAACTTTTTTTCTTTATCTTAATTTTTTTTCGTCTTTTTCTGTGTGTAAATGGAAAAATAAGATGTAAATATTTTTAGCACTTTAATGTCACTTTTTATTATTTTTTTATGAACCAAAACACCATACAACAAGCAAGTCAAGAAAAATAATAACCAAAAAATTTAATAAACAGCTAAAAGTATTTGCTTGTGCATTATTTTTTTACCAGAATATTGAAAATAATTGTTTGAAAAATAAATGAATAGATCACGAATGAATAAATAAACTTTAAAAGAAGTGATGATGTTAAACTAAAATTTTGAAGTTTTGAAAAAAACAACAACATTAGCCTATTATAGTTTTTCCATGTTTAATAATACTGCAACTTTTCTTTTATCTAATGGCTCTTTTTTCTTCTTTAACTCAAAATTAATTATTTCTCCTTTCTATTCTTGCATTTTTATTTCACTTATTCCTCGAGAAGATATTCTATATCTGTACGCTCTGTTAGAATTTTAAGCACTTATTATATTTAACTTTAGATTTTTTGTATAAGATTATGAATATTGTTGTTTGCACTCTAAAAAATAAAAGAACGAAATGCGTCTAATTTCATTTTAATGTCTTTCTTCAGGACCCACATCCATCCAAATAGTACAGCACAAAGCAAATTTTTATCATTAAATTAGAGATATTTTTTCGTTCTTTTTCTTTGCCTTTCTCTTACCGACAGGAAGAAAATTCGTTTCTTTGTTTATTTTCTCAATTACTCGGAAAAGTTTAATATATTGCCTTTCACTCGATTACATTTTTAATATTTCTTTTTTACTCCTTTAATATTCTCTCTTTCATAATTTTTTTTAATTATGAAATTTTTTCATTTTTACTGGAAAAATTATAATATTTGAGCCAGGCAAATTAACGTTTATCTTCTTCGATTCAAGTTCACATTTAAACTGACATGAGATTGATTCTCGAGATCTTTATACGAAATGCATACAGCGCTCACTATAAAAGAGAGAAAAGTTGGAATGATAAAGCTTTTAGATTCTTCCAAGCAGTAACTGGAAA